CAAGAGAGTGACGACCATCTAATGGATATTATCCACATGAGTATATTATGCTTACTGATGGGAGAGAGTCAGAAACTTATCAAAAAGTTATTTTACATGAATATAAGAATGAGTAGACTAAAACTATGCAAAAAGAAATAAGATCTTTACTTGAGAACCACATCTATGACTTAGTAAAGTTGCCTAAAGGGAAGAAAACTCTCAAGAATAAATGTGTTTACAAATTGAAGACTGAAAATAATAGCTCACAACAAAGATATAAGGCATGACTAGTTATGAAATGATTCAATCATTTCTACTTTGAAGAAATATTTTTTCCTATGTTGAAAATATCCTCTATCCGAGTTATTTTTGGTTTGGTTGCCCGCTTGAATTTAGAATTTGAGCAACTTGATGTGAAAATTATATTTCTTCATAGTGACTTAGAAGAAAAAATTTACACAGAACAACTAGAATGTTTCAAAGTCAAAGGAAAAGAAAATCTAATATGTAATCTTACGAAAAGCTTATATGGATTTAAACAAGCACCCAAACAATGGTACAAGAAGTTTGATTCATTTATGATGAGCCAAGGGTACAATAGAACCATATCTAATCATTGTGTATTTACAAAGAAGTTTTCAGATGATGATTTCATTATTCACCTACTATATATTAATGATATGTTGATTATTAGCCATGATGCTTGTAAAATTGATAAACTTAAAAGAGAGTTAAATAAGTCTTTTGCCATGAAAGACTTAAGATCGATAAAACAAATACTTGACATAAAGATTCTTCGTGATAGGAATAAATAAAAGATTTGACTATCTTAGGAGACCTACAATGAAAAGGTTCTTGAAAGATTCAACATGAGTAAAGCTAAAGCAGTTTATCCTCCACTTGTAGGTTATTTCAAGCTTAGTTTGGAATAATATCCTACAAGTAAGAAAGAAAAATAAATGTCTAGAATGCCTTACTCATCTATAATAGGTAGTTTGATATATATTATGGTTTCTACTAGGTTAGATATAGCTCATACAATTGGAGTTATCAACTGATTTCTCTCTAATCCTAATAAGGAACATTGAGCAGTAATGAAATGAATATTAAGATATTTGATAGGTACTTCTAGGTTGTGTGTATGTTTTAGTAGTGATGAACCAGTGCTAAAGGGGTATATAGATGCAGACATGACATATGATACTGATTCCAAGAAATTCATTTCGAGGTTCTTGATAACGTTTGCAGGGGGAGCAATCTCTTGGTAGTCAAGTTATAAAATTATGTTGCTCTATCAACCACAGAAGCATAATATATATCAATTATTGAAGCATGCAGGGAAGCTTTATGGATAAAAAAGTTTCTACATAAATTAGACTTGAAACAAAAAGGATATATTGTTTATTGTGATAATCAAAGTGTCATTTACCTCTCTAAGAATTCAACATACTATTCTAGATCCAAGCATATTGATGTAAAATATTACTAGATTCGTGATGTGATTGAGATTAAAGAATTACACTTAGAAAATATGTATACTTATGAGAATGGATCAGACATGTTGATAAAGTCTTTTCCAAGGAGAAGCTTGAAGCATATAGGCGTAAAGCGAGCTTAGTACAATCTACCATATGAGTTGGAGAGGAAGAATTATTGGGTCCAGCCCATAGGTGGGCTTGAATCAATTGATTTGAGCATTGAGCCCAAATATAATATATTAAAAAAATAATAATAAAATGAAAGTGGCGTGTGTGTGCATGTAGTGAACAAAGAGAAAGAGAACAAAGAGAGCAAAAGGAGAGAGATAAAGTTAAGATTTTGAGGTTTTAGCTAGATAATCAAGCGGTTAAATTTTATTGGTTTTGACTCAAATTTTATATGAAAAATCCTTACAACAAGTACTGATATACAATTTATTCTCTCTAAGATACTTTTCTATTATACCCATTTGATGAGATCTAAAAATTTTTCTTTTATAAAATCCATATATGGTTATGATGATATGTTATTGTTGAGTCAAGATATATATTTTTAAAATTATTATGATACTCTGATTATTCTGAAGAAAATTTATTATAAATTTATTATTATTATCGATAATAGTAGAAGTTTAAAGTGGATTACGTTCCGTGATTTTTCTCGTATTGAGTTTTTTACGTAAAAAATTTGGTATCTTACGTTATGATTGATTCATTGTTTTACTATTTATACTGTTCTGATTAATATTTATTTTTAATAATAAATTAATATTTTGATAAGAAACCTATTTTAATATATAAATAAAAAAAAATTATTCGACTATAATAATTTTTCCTAACACTCGTTTGTGAGTGGACGAAGGATAACATCCAAGCAAACTGAGTTGCACCCGGTCACATCGTAACGCCACTCACTGAGCCGGTAATGGACACTCAACTTAGCGACGTTTAGTTTCCGTGCGTATCACGGTACCAAGTAGCATATATACGCGTATCACGGTCACATCGTAACCCTCTTGGACGTCTGGGTGAGGCCGAGACTTAGCACCGGTGGTCGCTTTCCTCTGTCTTCCTCTACGTCAATGGCCAAGTTGTGGTTGTCGATGGAGGTCGAACCGTGAACGGCACCGCATAAGCTTCCGATCGGTCGATATCGATCACCGTGGCGAGTTATATGATAGACTGTGTGTGCTGCGATGTCTTTCTAATACTTGGTCTGAATATTCGCAACGTTGTGTAAAATAATTAAGATGCTCGCGTACACAATGATGCGTGCACAAGCAGACAATGGTGAACGTACCCACCCATTTAGAACACTCAATGTGGTATCAGATTGTGGGAAGGGTGTTCCGTGTGATTCCTATGATTGATAAGCCATCCATCGTACTTTCGAAACCAATTAAATAACGAAGAGGAAGAGTGGATAGATTTACAAGACTATTATTCATTTCCACTCATAAATATGACTATAAGAGCTAATTATAAAATATTTCTGTAATAAATTACTTTTAATATATTATTTTTTATATTTTTAAAAATTACATTGATAAATCGAAACGAGACCATGGTAAATTTTATGATATTTTGACAACGTGAATAGAAACGAGATTAAATATTTTTTTTTATAAATATTGCAAGTATAAAGATGTAAATGTTAAATGTAGTTAACTATAGAAAATAATTTTTTATGTTGTGGAATATAAATATTTGAGAGAATATTTTTTTATTTAGATATCAGAACACTTCGGGGTGAATATTTTATGGAGCCACGAGCCAAAGAGAAGAGACCAAAAAAAAAATCACATTCGAGATGATAGAGGATTGAAGGCTAAGTACAGTTGGCACAATCCTTCGTCCATCTCATACCAACGAAGTTTCCGAGTAAGTCATATTTATCTACAGAAATTATAATATAATTAGGAAAATGTGTGTGGACACGACTTCTATTGATCCAATGTGCATACAGTTTCCACATCTTAGCTATAAATGGACTGAAGTAGGAAGAAACAAAGAAGAAGAAGAAGAAGGAAAACAATGGAGGGTGGCGACCAGAAGTGCGACGATAACCAAGCGGTGGGGAGATGGACTCTTGTAGGAACAACAGCTTTGGTCACCGGAGGCACTAAAGGAATCGGGTATCGTCATCTTTCTTCATACATTTGCTCATCCACCTCACAGCACAAACAAGTTCATACTGAAATCTGGAGTCTAATGCCTGCCGAAATTAAGGAGCTTATGTCCATCTTATTATGAGGTTTTCTCTTCCGTTCTTTTATGGTGATCAGACATGCCATAGTAGAAGAACTAGCGAGATTTGGTGCAGCCGTCCATACCTGCTCTCGAAACGAAGCAGAGCTCAACGAGTGCTTGCAACAATGGAGAGCTTTGAACCTCAAGATCACCGGCTCCGTCTGCGACGTCTCATCTGACGTCGAGAGGGAGAAACTGATGCAGACTGTGAACTCCGTCTTCCATGGAAAGCTCCATATCTTGGTGAGATTGTCGGCTGTCTTAAGCGTTAGCATTTAATCCATCCGAAGAAGATGATAACGCATCTACGCTTCTTCCCCGTCCTCGCTGATGCTCGTGGTGTAGGTAAACAATGCCGGGACGGTGATTTGGAAACCGGTGGTGGAGCAGACCCCAGAGAACTACAGACGTATCATTAGCACCAACTTGGACTCTGCCTTCCATCTGAGCCAGCTTGCCCATCCTCTTCTCAAGGCGTCAGGAAGAGGCTGCATCGTCAACATCTCCTCCATCGCTGGCTTCGTCGCCATCGATTCTGCATCCGTCTATGCAGCAACTAAAGGTTACATGTCACAGACACAACCGTCTCGCATCACGAATCTAATAGTACTTCTTCGTCTTCTTCTTTCTTCAGGAGCACTGAACCAGCTGACGAGGAGCCTTGCTTGCGAGTGGGCAAAGGACAACATTCGAGTTAACTGCGTCGCTCCCGCGTACATCAGAACTCCACTCATTCAGACCGTAATGGTTCTATCTGTTCTCCCTCCTGAATAGGAATCATCAAAACCTCGTGAACTCTTCTTCCTCCTCCTCGTACTGCATGGCTGTGTGACGCACCAGTGTTTACAATCTCAACAGCTATCCGAAGACGAAGAGTTCGTAGCGAGGGAGGCTCGTCGCGTTCCTCTGGGGCGGCTGGGTGAGCCAGAAGAGGTGGCGGCCGTGGTGGCTTTCCTCTGCCTCCCGGCTTCCGGCTACGTCGATGGCCAAGTCATCATCGTGGATGGAGGTCGGACTGTGAACGGCAACAATTGAAGTCTCCATCACGACACTATTGCCACCATCCATGTTGTTCCGAGAAGTACTACCATCAATATAGCTACTTAGCGTGACGTCCACGTGACGAGACAATATAGTTGTGCCTGGTGTGGTTGCAATAGGTAATAGAATCCTTCTCCGAATAAGATCGCCATCTAAGAGTCATTCTCGGTACAATCGAAATAATCTTTCTCGGTACAATAAAGCTATTTGCTGACCATTTGGGTACTCAAATTAGTTCGATCATGGCAATAACAAATGCAGTTCCCAATAGTTTCCTTGATATGTTGCCAAGCAAGCACAGAGCAAAAATATCCTAGCTAGGCTACCAACAGTGCCCAAACGGGAGTAACAACACTCTTACGACATGAAACAACAACTCCAAGTGATGGATGCTACCAGGTAATTGAGCTGGTGGGTGGTGGATATACCCTCTTTACAGCTTCTTGCTGCTTCCTTCCTCTTCCTCCAGAGCCTTTAGCTTCCGATAACCTTTATCGGTGCCGAACAACCTGACACATCATGATCAACAATGGCTTTTACAGTGAGAGCATCAAAATATGTATGTGTTCGTTTAAAAAATTTCCAATTTTATTTTGACTTCTTATTTGTGTGGAATATGGGCTTGCAAAGATAAGAATTAGATCGGTTTCAATAAAACATATCCATCATCTTGTTAGAAGATACCATGAAGTTGAACCAACCAGTAAATAATAATACCGAATGTAGTATGCAAAAGATGAAATTTGAGACAAAATAAAATATGCATGAATGTGGATTACATTCTTTTTAAGGCAGATTGATCTTGTAAGGGAATTTGACTATGGGGCATACAACCATAGTGGCTTGTGAGTTATTTGTGGTGACATATTCATGATAACTCAAATCGATTCACTAACTAGTTAATTTATGAATCACTACTCAGAAAATTAACAAAGAAAAGATAAAGAAGAAAAAGGATACACACCAGTCCATGTAGACAAAGGTCGATGAGTAGTTCCCTGACTTCGTATAAAGCACGCGATGGTGGTAGTCATGGAAATGAGCACTGCAGGAAACAACCAGATTTCAATTAACAGACACCAACTAAACCAAAATGCATCAACAAAAGAACACACAACTAAGTATACTGTCACAACGCACCCTCCATAGAGAGGCAAAAAATTTGAGGGGCTCCATGGGAAATCATATCCACTATGAGCATCAACCGTCTCCAAGACCCTCAGTATCACCCACAACCATAAGGTGAACAGGTGAGGGCCAGTGAGAGCTGGACCGACCACCGTAGCAAAGCCTAGGAATAATATCTCGGCAGGATGGGCATACTCAGAAGTCAATCCGAAAGGCGTAGCATATCTTCATGAACTCACTACGTTAGAGGATAATGGAACTAACAATAGTTTACAGTCATGCAATCTTTGGCACTTACTCATGGTGAACACTATGGACATGCTTGTAGAGCCATTTCGTGTGCAGTAACCTGTGGCCCCAATAGAACACAAAATCTTCCAAGATGAAGTAGAAGATTATTTGAGATAGGACAACAGACCTACAGAAACAGAAGTTAATCAATAGAGTCAATGAACCATCCGAATTACATTCGAAGGAACCACTAAATACCAGTGTGGCAATGGCTGACTGCTTCTCAAGCCCATCCACCTGAAGATGGGATAGGAGACGAGCATCACTGGTAGGTTCACACATACATGATACAGGATTAGCCGAACAATGCATTTCTCTTGAGCTTCTGCAGTGTTACTCTTTTTCTGCAATGTAACATATATTGATCATTACGATATATCAAGTAATGAACATCGATACAACAAGCAACTGCTAAAGAAATATTTAACGTAATGGATCGAGCAAGCAGTTAAAGATTGTTACTATGTTGATGGCCATATGAAAATCTCTAGCTGAACTCACATGCTAAAGAAAATCTCTAGTTAAAAATTGCTAGTATGTTGATTGGCCTAAGAAGAAATATGAGTACAACTATGAGACAAAGCAAAAGAAGCCATGAGTAGTGCAGAAAACTATGGAATAGCAAGCAGGCAAACCTGAATCTTGTATTCACTGAAAAGCCCTGACCTCTCGAAGTATATAGATGGAAGTCCAGACAAGAAAAACACACTCTCATGTATCAAGAACGTGCCAATGGTAGCCAATTGAAATTCACTGAAATGTGTGATTAGGTACTGCAGAGCACAATGAGCAACATTAGTAAATTACCTTAGTTAAATGTGAAGAAAAACTTCAAAAAATTCGGGAATCCATGCTTGAATGTAAAACATAATATTTATTTGTAGAACATAATATGTCGATATTAATGTCTTGCAAGCATCTCAAAGAAAACATGGAAGGAGTCCAATATTCTTGTCCTAAGCATGCTTTGTATTTAGATGTCAGGTTGGTAGCATCAATCTGTTTTAAGAAACTTGATTTAGTCAAGCCCGCTATCATTTTTTTTTACTTACAGACATTAGTCTCAGTATGTAATTTATCAGATTAATTTCTATTTTGGTTCATAAAGTTACTCTTTAGATTGCATTATTGATCAGTTACCTCTAATTCTCGATCTAATTACTTGTGGTTAATGCAGATCGAACTTTCAAAACAATTTTCATTTAACCTCTTGTGAACACCAGTGACAAGTTCATTAATGGTTTACAAAAAGTTAATGAAATGTGCATATAAGCTAAGCTAAGCACACAAAAAAAAGTGAACAAAGTAAATATTCCAGAATAATTATGATGCATAATACATATCAAAGCAAATACAGCAGCAGAAACATAGGAAGGCCACATTAGGCACTGGATATCATATAATAAAATTAAAACAACTATAGTCGTTCTGCAGAATCCGAGCTCTAATGACTAGTTCGGTTCTTCAGAAAGAGAAAGAAAATGAGTAACTCGGTTCCTCTGAAACTTTGTTGAAGATCCGATACTTGGGAAGTAAATCTAAGTTAAACGGCAATCTGATGGCAAATGACACTATCGGAGGAGTAAAAACACAGGAAAGTCCTTCGCTTTCTTCAAGATCGCACTTGGTAGTCAAAATGGGGACGGCCACAGCCGGTAAATCCAAGAACAGGGCAAGAAGTGATTTCTTGAGGGGATCATCAGAAATGAGTCATCCAAGAAATGGATTACCGAGTCGACGTTGGTATAGAGTGGAGTATGACCGGAGAGAGAAGGAAGAGAAGTTTACCTGCCAAACGGATTCGAGCAGCGGCGCCATGGATTGCGGTAGCGGCGATTTCCTGGGCAAGAAGAGGGCGTGTAGCACCGTAGCGGCAGCAGCAGTGGGCAGTGCTAAATAGAGGGTGGTAGGTACACACACTAGAATCCTCCAGTGTAGTGCACGCCTCTTTATATATATATATATATATATATATAAAGCAAGTTGTTAAATGAAACCTAATGTCGGCGGAAATCTTTTGGTACAGACTCAAATGGCGAAAATTAGATTTTGGATCAGCCATTATGTGCATTATTTACCCGTTTATTATCGTAGTCTCAATTATAAAATGAATCCAACTGATACAAGTAGAGGATATATGAACAGTCTGGCAAACCTTTTCCGACGTCATCTTTTTTCTCTCTTATGGGACAATAATTGCAATCACATACTGCTCTCCGGTCAGATCGGCTTTCTTTCCACATCGTCGAAATAACTCTCTCTTACCTTTTTCTTTTCACGGTTATGAAGTATTGTTCTAATCCTAAAGCTCATAAATATGGTGTGTTACAAACGGCCTGCGTTGTGTCGAACGTGCCATACCTACCACCTCTGAGTTGGTGGTCGGTAGCGGTTTTCCCAATGTATATAATTTCTTATGTCAAGCTGTTTTTTCTTGTCAGAAACCATTTAACTATATGCCTGTGCAGTACTCAGATGTAAAAGAGTTGGATTCAGAGCAAGAGAAATGCCACCGCACATGTGCAGGTCGAGATGGGCCGGGAAATCAATTATGCTGCACTCAAATGGAAGCACAACTCGAAGATCTGTACTGCGTTTTAGCCGTTTCTGCTGACACAAATCATGACAATTAAGATATTCAAGAGGTTAATGCACTTTTGCATAATTAATAATCGATGAATCTGAATCCATGCGTACGTCTCTTATACATCATTTAATGTAATAAATTTTTGTTCTTAATTTTGAAAAAATCAATGGTTTTTATACCCATCACTCATTTTCGGAGGACCACATGCACATGCATATTACAGGTTTTTGTGACCACCATGTACTATTACTGGTTTTTATGCACACAATGGACCATTACAGGTTTTGTTGCCAGCATCCAGAAAAAATGAAGACAGGAAACCAGAACCGAGAGTTTCTATGATGGTATATAGTGGTGATATCTTAATGCATGGTGTATACATGAATCGTGACAACTCAACAATGGGCAACATATTGTTCTACCCCAGAGAGAGAGAAATAGGTACTAGAACAATGAAATTATTTAAGATCATCACAGATAATATCTACCAGTACCAAATAAGGGAAAGTTCACCAACAGAAGTTTTCAAACTTCTGATATTTATGATCTGGACAACAAGTAAAACATAGTCAATAGAGTCTGACCATTATTCAAGCGGTAAACTTATGAAAGTCCAGGTTTTGTAGAAACATAGAAACAACAGAAAAACACTTCTGAAACAAACAATTCATTTTACATGACTACAAATTCACCTATGCGACGATCAACACCATGCTTTCCATACATCATAAAGAACTAGACTGGTCAGGCCTTCTTACCGATCCCATGAGACATGTTGTAGATCCCACGTCCCTGTTCATTAAATACAACATAGTTAGTTGCAATGACAATAAACAACGAAAAAGAAAATATTATACAAGTTAAAAATGAGAGCCACGGACGATGAGTGCCAAGCTAGAGACTGTCAGTGCAAGGGGGATAGCAACAGATGTTATTTTATCGAAACGTCCTTTCAAGTATGTATGCTTATGAACATGCTGAAAATACTGCTGATGCTTCAGAAGCCTTTCCCGGGACACAAAAGGTGGTTCTGTCATCCTGAAAAACCAGAAGAAAATATAATTGAATCAAAATTTAGATTTTAATTGTTTGGTATAATCTGATCATGTAGATTGTGTAAATCCTATGACAAGTAGATAGGCATTCGTTATTATAAATGGATGAAGATAAGTAAGATTCTGCTTCACTATTGTAACTAGCAATTCCTCACAAATTTAATGTTGATGAAAAGTTAGTTTGACAAACAGTGGATAAGTGTTGAACATATATCAGATGCTGAGTAACTGGCATAAATACACAATAAAATTTATCACATGATGCTCAATAAAAACATATTGTTGACCTACATCCAAGCCTCCAAGTTGACTTGTTTTTAAATTCTTCAAACTACTGTATGTGCATCCTTACCAACAGCTTCTTCATGTATGAAAGTTAGATACATGTCTCAATAAAGTGGATATTTATCAGAAGTAATCTCCAAAAGTGTAAGCTAATTCTTAAGTACATAAATCATAATCCAAGGAAATGATGGGGTGGAAGAGATAAGCAGTAGAAACCCTAACTAAAAGAGTAGAGGAATCGGCAAAATTCCCTTGCAGTTAGACAAAGACGATTGGATATTACAGACCATTATTTTGTTTTCTTATATACAAATCCGAGTGTACGATTTGATTGAAGCAAGCATTTAAAAACCAAATGAAATTTTCATTATCCAGGGACTACATTGTCATTTATGCTTAAAATAGAAAACTAAAATGAAGGCTAGCTTAGTCAGTGTAGCAGAAGAGAGGTCATAACCCTAGTGCCCCAAAATAATGCACATATAAGAAATGATGCTCATGAATGTCTACATATGACAGCATATTGAATCCATCATGGTGATGGAACCGAATTCGAAGATGAATCATGACAAAACACCCTACATAGGTTTAAGAATAATTACTCATAGATCTCCTATTAACTACCTATTCCTTTAATCTTAGACGGGAAAAAAAAACGATTCATTCGGCTATTTGGCTCTTCTGGTAAAACATTACTCCCAATCAAATTTTGACAATCGGTCCGCTTTTGCATGAGGTTAGGTTGCAATCAGTGTGAAGCATATGCCAATTACGTCTTGCAGGTTTCAGCACTCTCCATTATCTTCATCTTCCCAAAAGATGCCTAAATTTTCAAAACGAAGCATCGAAAACCTCCAGATCTATGTTGAAAGGCATTTGGATGGAGAGAACCAAGATGGTTTTCTCAACCAACAAGGGTTAGGTATCCTCCAGAATACTACGGCATCTCGTATCGGATTGTGATGTTTTGCCAACAAACCTACATCAAAATAATCATACAGAGGAGGAAATATAAAACCTAATTTCGTGCATCTTTTTTTATATTCTTTTCATTATTATTTTCCACAATCAAACCTTGGAAAACGAAAAAGGATTCTCCCATATCAAACGATCAACAGATAAATACACATATAACCCAAGCAATGAAAGCAAGATAGTCTCGATCACATCGGCATGATAAGAAAAATAAACCAGGCTGCCACAGGAGGGAAATAAAAACGATCGATCGAACAATCGGGCAAGATCGGTCTACCACTGACTGGAGCCCGAGGCGTTGGAGAAAGAGAAAGGTTTACCTGTAAATCCAAGGATGCAACGATAAGATCGAAAAGGGGCGTCGGCCAGCAGCAGGAGTTCCGTCAAGGGCTTTGCTCGGCTTGATCGGTCATCCCATCATCTGATATATTACAGAAACACATCATCTGGACCATTCATTTATGAAGAACTCATCCTAGCCGTCCACAAACCCGACCGCTTGCTCCCACAGGCTACCTACATCTACCCCATTATTCGGGACCCAACATTGGTTTAAGACACTTAATGGCCTAATTAAGGCCTGATTTGAGCCTAACTCAAATCTGACCCATACAGGAAGGGTAATTAAATCCCCATACGAATGCCAAATAGTTAACTGCCGTTGTTAACAACCACGCGTCGCAGTCTACTGCGGCCAAAACGGCTACGAGGGAGGCTTGAGAGAAGCCTGTGCCACCGGCAACTACAAGGACGTCCTCAGAGCCTTCTTCAACCAGTTCGGCGGCAGCCAAGATCCGCAGCTGAACCTCGCCGGCCATTGTGATCCCAACACCAACGACTGCACTTTCCTAAGCAACGACATCATCTCGTGCCAGAGGGATTACAATGTCAAGGTGATGCTCTCCCTGGGCGGCGCCATCGGCAACTACCTCCTGGTGTCCGAGGAGGAAGCCTGGGAGGTCGTCCACCACATCTGGAACAATTTCTTGGGTGGCTCTTCCTCCATGAAAGACAGTTCAGACCACCATGTGGAATAATTTTCACACACGCAGTTCATACCACCATGAAAGGCCTCACTAACATAGACAAGCTGGAGGACAGACGATCCGAGCACACATAGTTCTTAACCTCGGAACTGTAGCCGTAGAGAACGTTGTGGTATCTATTCAACAGCATAATTCCTCCATACTTTTCTGACCTCTTCACGATGGGAAGAACTTGAGTAATGAGCTCGGCGGGTCTAACGAAGCCACCTCCAGCTGCCTGATGAGAAGCAGGGTCTCCGAGGAACACCTTGCTTACGTTCATGGAAGTCCATCGGTTCCATATCTGTTCAAAGGTGGCAACGTTGCCGGAGTACCGGCAGTAGTTGTTGTAGAATTGCACCCACAGGTAGTCGAAGAGGCCGGTGTCGATCGCAGGTTGAAGGAAATAGTCGGGCATGGGGCACTGTGGAGTCGCGCTCAGGTAAACTTTCCGCTCCGGCGTGCTGTAGGCCTTCAAGCAGCGAGGAAGGTCGTCCCAGTGGTCTCTGCTCCCTCCCTCGATGTCGAAGTCTACTTCATCCAACACAGCGTTCCCAAGGGGCCGGTTGGAGGAAGATCCGCCCAAGAAATTGTTCCAGATGTAGTGGGCGACCTCCCTGGCTTCCTCCTTGGACACCAGGCGGTACTTGCCGATGGCGCCGCCCAGGGAGAGCATCACCTTGACGTTGTAATCCCTCTGGCACAAGATGATGTCGTTGCTTAGGAAAGTGCTGTCGTTGGTGTTGGGATCACAATGGCCGGCGAGGTCTTGGTTGCCGCCGAACTGGTTGACGAAGGCTACGAGGACGTACTTGTAATTGTCGGTGGCACAGGCTTCTCGTAAGCCTCCCTCCGGCGCCGCCCAGGGAGAGCATCACCTTGACGTCGTAATGATCCACATTTACACGTACGTCCAATCGACACCTACAATTTTACCTCGTGCCACCGACCTTTCTAGCGGACCCAAACCGACAGATTGATTTGGTTAGTTACGGTGGGCCATCGTCCTTGTTGCAGGGGAGAAAGGCCAAACTCAAGCTGGTTTCAACCCAATGAGCCGTACCCGACTCCTTATTGGACGCCTTCGTTTCGATGCCCCATCATGCGACGAGGGGTTCGTGACAAGGGGTAATGGAAAACCATTGGTCTTACTCGGTTCTGGTCTCCTCCTCCCTACCGTTCTCCATCTCCTTCCGCCTCTGTTCTCCTTTCCTCGTTCGGCTGTCATCGCTCTCTCTCTCACTCTCTCTCTCTCTCTCCAGCGGAAGCAGTTGCAAGAGAGGTAACATATCCCCCCCCTTAATCAATGTCTTGTCTCTTTACGATCCTCTCGATGTCCTCCAAGGTCGATTTTGTACCAGATTTTAGAAACGATCTTGAACTTTTGGAGCCCTAATTCGTTCCTTGGTGTACCGAGCACCAGTGATCGAGCCATTCCATCCGTTCAATTTGCATTTTGATAGATCTTGTAATGATCTTCTCGTCATTGTTGATGTTTCGTCGAATTGTATGGGTTATTTTGGTATCAGTCATGTCGGAATATGAGAGAATGGATGGCGATTCTGTACCTATAGCAGCACACTAGTTTGGCGTTGGAAGATGAAATTTAGTTTCACAGACAGCTAGGGAAGATTTTTAATGTGCTGAGCAGAACGGAAGAAGACATATATATATATATATATATATATATATATATATATATATATATATATATATATATATTCTCCATCAGTTTTGGGTATGTTCTACATACGCAGGCATATCTTTTTGTTTTTGCTCTAGGAGGTTTACCGTTCCAAGATCGGTTCCATTCTTTATCTTTCTTGTCCTTCATTCGGCACATTTTTTATGTATTCCCTGGAAGTAGCAAATTCTTGTGCCACCCTTATGATGATGATAAACCTAGGCGCTTAATTATGTTCTTTCTTTCCGGGAGGTGCTTTATTGGAGTACCATAATAAGACACAATGAACTGCCTCAACTAGTCGATTAACTAATGGTCTCTGCTTAAGCATCTTCCTTTTACACAAGAGGGTTCTCCTTTCTTAACAGTTCTTTCTCTTGCCGAATGCAGCTTGATCATTGTTACTTGAGAAGTTGTTTACTAATTCTTGTTTGACTATGCTGACACTAGTGTCCGGATCATTGACATGGCGTTCAGTATGTGATATCTAGTTACTTGATGGCTCGGAAGCAGCACATTGCGATTTTTACAACTGCAAGCCTCCCATGGATGACCGGGACTGCTGTCAACCCTTTATTTCGTGCTGCTTACCTGGCAAAGAATCATGAACGAGAGGTGACGCTGGTAATTCCTTGGCTATCTTTGAAGGATCAAACATTAGTATATCCAAATAAAATAACGTTTTGCTCGCTAGAGGAGCATGAAGCCTATGTTTATTGGTGGCTAAAGGAGAAGGCTGATATTTTATCAGAATTTAGGATCGCCTTTTATCCTGGAAAGGTAAGACACATTGAAGCAATCATAAGTTTTTACGTTCTTAAGTATATTACTGGTGAGCTGTATTATTTGTCATCCAGCGGTATGATATAAAAAGCCCAATATATTGTGCTGGCCTTAATTTTGGTAAACTTCTGGTTTCTGATGTAAGCTGTTGAATTCTAATAAGTGTGGCTTGAGCTAGGTTTTAGTCACACTGTACAGATGGGAACTGATCACTTTTTTTGTCATTTGAAGAACTTCCATATGACTTTTGGCTAAAATTGCAGTTCTCCAAAGACAAAAGGAGCATTCTACCTGTTGGGGACATCACTGAGATGATTCCTGATGAAGTGGCAGAAATTGCTATACTTGAGGAGCCAGAACATCTTAATTGGTACCATCATGGTCGCAGGTGGAAAACTAAGTTCCAGAGAGTGATAGGTGTTGTTCATACTAATTATTTGGAATATGTGAAGAGGGAGAAAAATGGGCAGATACAAGCCTTTCTCTTGAAATATGTTAACAGTTGGGTTATTCAGATCTACTGCCATAAGGTGAGTGTGTTGCAAGAATCACGCATATCCATGAAAGTTTTCAATGTTGCATGAAAATCTTCCTCTGACATGCTGAAAACTGAAGTTTGTGCCGTAAAAATACTGTGATGTAAACCAATAGACCCAGAGGCTGAGAAGTTAATTAACAATAAATTTTGGTTAAGCACATTCAACCATACAAATTTCTTAATTTAGATGAAAAACTCATCAAATGTGATGTCAGACCTTCCATTTTCAATATGCTTTTTTCTGAACATATTGATTATTTCTTGCATACAAGTAAGCAAGAAACTTTATTGATGCAAGTTCTCAGTGTCATGCAAAGGGAATTTTGCAAGCTGGAAACTTTCTTATTCAATCTTCTGATTTTTCTCCCTTGTTGCAATTTCTGGAACTGTTCTTCATGTTGGTATGGTTTGTGGATATATCAATTTAATGAGAGGAAGTGAGCACATAAAATTCACTTGAAAGGAAGATATTACATGTTAGATACATGATGAGATTCTGACAGATGTAATTTGAATTATCAATTTCAACTGAAGCTTATGAAATGTTACAGTTGGAGGAATATGATTGAGTGATCCTCAGGACAAACTCAGCTAGGGACGTGTAGAAGATTACGAGTATCTAAGGTTCTTTTCAGAACATTTTTCTTTTAGATGAGTTTATATTTTGCCTTGTGGTCCCTAAGCAATCCTTTTTAGCTGTTTTACTTCAGTAAATAAAAGGAGTTTAAAACCTGCAAATTGTTGTCATTTTCAGCATTTTGTATCTAACTCATCAGTGAATAGTTGGTTCATTCTTGAGCTGAACATAGCCTAGTATGAAAAATGTCAAACTTCAAATTTCAATTTTTGTCCCATGTTATTTTATTTCCAGAATAGCAGAATCTAGGAAAGCCTGTTGCTGTTTGTCCATTTTTGTCTTTTTTCCTAGTGTGAGAAATTATCATACTTCAGATTACTGTATCCTTTTGGGTCAAGCTAAGAATACAAGGAGCTATTATTTATGATTATCCTTCTAAATTTTTTGAGAAGGATACAAGGGGCTTATCATATTGCAGGTTGTGAGATTATCCGCTGCCACACAAGATCTCCCAAGATCCATCATCTGTAATGTCCATGGTGTCAACCCCAAATTCCTTGAGGTTGGGATAACAAGGCATCAGCTAAAACAAGGAGCTCAGACAGCCTTTTCTAAAGGTGTTTATTTTATTGGAAAGATGATCTGGAGTAAAGGCTATACAGAACTCCTCCAACTACTCTCGGAGCACCAAAATGAATTTTCTGATTTACAAGTAGACTTGCATGGAAATGGTGAAGACTTTGATGAGATTCAAGATTCTTTCAGTAAACTGACTCTGGATGTAAGAATATACTCTGGCCGTGATCATGTTGATCCTTTATTTCATAAGTAAGCCCTCCATAGCTTATTTGCATTACAAGTTGCTTCTTCTGTTCAACTTTTTTTTTTTTCTGTTAAAATGATAGTATATTAAACTGTAGAAGTTTGTGTTCGTCACTTTTGGAGAAGGCTAACTAGATACAGTTGCTATCCTTCCCGGTATCCTATAAAAGTCTCTTATATAAGTTATATTTTCTTTGACAAGTTGAGAGATAAGCAAATTAAAAATAACTCACTTTTTTATTTGTTTTTTATCCTTTCTTGTGTTCCTGTTCCTTCAGGTACAAGGTGTTTGTTAACCCGAGCACTACGGATGTCGTTTGCACAACTACAGCAGAAGCTTTGGCGATGGGAAAGATTGTTATCTGTGCCAGCCACCCTTCAAATGAATTCTTCAAGCAGTTTCCAAATTGCCATATGTACAATACCAGCCACGAGTTTGTGAAATTGACTCTTGAAGCTCTAGCCGAACAGCCTGTGCCCCTCACGGATGATCTTAGGCATGCATTATCTTGGGAGGCAGCCACTGAAAGATTTGTCGAGGCTGCAGAGCTAAATGAGGTGTTCCAGGAGAAAGCCCTTCCCTCTGCTAAGCCTTTCATGTTAATGTCTTCCGATTATTGGATGAAGAGATTGGTGGAAGCATCTGCATATTTGCACAATACCGTTTCTGGAATCGAGGCTGCACGCTGTGCCTTTGGTGCAATTCCGCAAACTCTGCTTCCTGATGAGCAACTATGGAAGGAGCTCGGGTTGGGTTTTCCAGAACAAAAGCAATGTTTCAGACGTTAGATCTGCCGCTTCTCTCCTACACTTCTGTGAAGGTTACTCTGATTTCAATTAGAATGTGGTCTTGAGTGTTGGAATTGATAACAGTGCAGCAGATTCGCTTAATTTACCTGGGTTTTCATGCGTCTCACTGGAGCTGACTTCTCTACCACTTGTGATTGGAACTCTTGCAAGATGTTGTAAATTGACGGCATTACGGGGACAAAATTCTGACAAGTAAACTATTGGAAATCCTAAGCCTTAAGTTTGCTTCTTAAGCTGTAATTATATTGGATTGTTAGTGATTGAGCTGTAATTTTTGTTGTCTTTATTTCATGTGTCGAAGATATTGGTGGCGGAAAGAGGTGAAGAACCTCTGTTGGCTTCGTGGCAATTAACGTGTTATATTTGCATAGATAAGCACTGGTGCTTTGCCTTAAAATAGACGTGAACAATCCTACACAAGTGGAACACTTTAAATTAAATACAGATTACTACAGCAATTTGTCGTATCCCAACTACTATTTTGTCGACTAAATCGACCTCTAAATAAATAAAATGAAGATTATTTTACAGATTTAGGTGCTGCAAACGATTCAACCACATAATTTAGGTGATGCAAATTAACAAGTCTTAATTTGAACCTAATTAATATTCCTAAATTATTTATTAATCCTAACAAAATAATACAAATTCTAATCAAGGAGTCTTAATTTGAACCTAATTAGTATTCCTATAGGATATTTATAATTAATTTTATAATACTCTAATTATAGGTTGATGCTCGGACTCTGTTCCAATCGATTTCCGTATCCGAATCGAACTCGAGGAAAGTAGCAGTGTTATTAACACGTAACACAAATCGTGGCGTTGTGTGGTCGTGACTGCGTAACGCTATGCTGCATGCGAGCCCGGCTGCCCGATCTCGGTCGTTTTGCCCACGCCATCCCTGTACTCCTCGCGTGTTGTTGGCTTCGTGGGTGCGGCGGCGCATCACCAACACTGATTCGGTAGCCCTCCACCCTTCCCTCCGCGCCTGCGCCGTTCCCTGCCTCCCGCTCCCAATAACCCATCGCTTCCGCCTCCGATCGAATCGAGCCATGGCCCGAGGTATTGCCCCAACTCTTTTACGGCTCGTCGTGCCCGTGGACAGCGGACTCGTCTTCTTCGTAGATTCTTCCTTCTTAATCCCGTTTCTGCCGCAGAGTACGAGGAGGCGTTGGATTGCTTGTCCTCCCTCATCACGCGCCGCACTCGAGCTGATGGGTCCAACAAGGGCGACCACTTCGATCTGATGTTCGACTACCTAAAGGTTCCATGCCCTCGATGTTCTCTTCTTCTTTCGTCCGTTTAGCTGATTCGATATGCTCGGTTTGCATCCGTGTAGATCTTGGAGTTGGAAGACGCGATTCCTGAACTTAAAGTAATTCATGTTGCCGGCACCAAAGGAAAGGTGGAAACCTTGATTTGTGCTTCTCTTGCTTTTGCTTTTCGCATGAGATCCGATCGGTGCTGGCTGATGATGAATTAACGATGCAGGGTTCGACGTGCACGTTTACCGAATCAATTCTCCGGTGTTGTGGGTTCCGGACTGGATTGTTCACATCCCCTCACCTGATCGATGTCCGCGAGCGGTTCCGTCTCGATGGGTAAGGTTCTTTGCTTTCTCTCCAGGATTCATGCCGTGGCCCGCACTTGTTCTAAACCCAATCAAGTTAATGCTCTATCTTCCCCTCATAGTCTATCAACGGTAATAACTAATGTACTGCTTACTCTTCCATGTATATCAAAGCATAGCTAGGTTCGTACGCAGTTTCTTCTCGATGCTTAGCAAGGAACACTGACATTTCTTTGTTTCCTATGATCGAACTCTAGGGTAGAAGTTTCTGAAGAGAAGTTTTTGGAGTATTTCTGGTGGTGTTGGCATAGACTGCAGGTATACACATATACTTCTGATGCAAGATTAATCGAACTGTAAGCTACATTTGCATGTTTTCGTTAAGATTCTTTCATTGGATATTAATCATTGAACAACTCTTTCTTTTCTAAAAGCAACCATAACAATTTTTCAACTTGGTACAGGACATGGTAGTTGTAGGTATGAAAATGTCCTATGATCAAAACGACGGCCTTCCTTCTGTCACCTTCTTTAGTTGTTACTATTCTTCTCATGCTTTTCCTTTTGATGTTTGTTTCAAACTATGGTTCTTTCTCGAGTCGTTAGAACATTGCTTGGTTTGCTTTTCCTTGCAGGAGAAAACTGGTGATGATGTGCCGATGCCGGCCTATTTCCGCTTCCTTGCCCTCCTAGCATTCAAGATATTCTCAGCAGAGCAGGTCAACAGTTCAAATTCCTTTTCAATTTGCTGTTACCTTATTGTTGATGACACAGTTCCTTGTCAGTTTGTTATCTTCTTATCGTTGCATCGGTTGTACCAATCTTGACATCCTCGTGTTCCATGCCTGTTGCCTACGTGTCTCGTCCAAAGAAACAGAACATTTATATGTTTAAGAGAAGAGATCTATATACTTGGAAAATGCCTCACCTGATCTATTTAATGCATCAACTTCTTCTTTTGCTTTTCTTCTCTGTCTTTCCATAAGGTTGCTTTTCTCAATCTAAATGATACATAGTAGTGCAAATAAGGTTAATGAGATTCTGACTACATTGATTGAATGATTATCCAAAAATATCCAGTGAACATCTGCTGAGAGATGCCGATGTTTATTATCCATTATCTCATGAATGAAGAAAGTCATCCTTTAAGCCACCAGTTGTTTTGACTGATAAACTCATGACTACTCTGATACTAAGGGAAAAATTAAAATCAGGTTATGTCTCAGATTTGTACTCGACTCCGTGTGTAAAATATACCATGTTTAATATTTTTGCTTTTGTTCTGCTCATTAATCATATTAGAACTGGCCAACTAGGTAATTGTACTTGCTATAATTTGAAATCCATTGATCTTAGTTTAGCTTTCAAGCCAGAATCAAGCAAAAGTTTGAAGCAATATCTTAATTCGGACAAGGTCCTATTCTACCAACTGACAGTAAGTTACCAAATGCAAACTGGAAATTAGCAACAGGCACAAGATAAAAGAGAGGAACTAACTTACGAGAACTTTATTGAGATTCATGTCCTTGAAAATTCAAGTGAGGCTTCTCAAGATTTTAAGAAGATGTTGAAAAACATAATAGGGAAGGACTAGTTCTTACTCAATAATCAATATTGCATCATATTTATTCCTTGTGTACTAGAGTTGGATGAGATGTTCAGAAAACTACTTGGACGTCAGCCATGAACATGAATGTGGGAGTTGTAAATCACAAATCTAACTCTCGGTGTTTAACTTTCACCAAATGTTGGTAACATATTACTGCAGTCTATTTTTCTTGCATCTTTATGATATAACAGGCCTTATTGCCCATTGGCAATTAATTAAACAGTTCTAATTGTGATTGTACAGTATTAGTTGATTAATTTGCAGACTAACATGTTGCAACATTTTTTAGTATTTCTGGTGCTATTGCTAGAATCTGAGCTAGTACATAATAACCATAATATTATACGTTCAAATGAAACAGGTGGATGTTGCTATAATGGAAGTTGGTTTGGGAGGAAAATTTGATGCGACCAATGTGGTGAGTAATTGTTTCTTTTAAGTTGTGTTTTTGGTTTCAAATAATTGTAGCTTGCATAAAGCATATATGTAGAGCACACATGTTGCTTTCTTAAATTTCACCATCATATTTCAGGTGCAGAAACCAATTGTTTGTGGAATATCCTCCTTGGGTTATGACCATATGGAAATTCTCGGTTGGTCCCCTCCCCACATCCAAAGAAAATATGCAAATAATCACCATATTGTTTTGTGTTATGCTCCTTTAGAAAGAAAATTCATGCTGTGTTATGCTCTCTACCTTATTGTTCAACAGGGAATATATTTGTTTAGGATGTATAAAATTTGCAATATCTGCTAGTATATAATGTAAAAGATTATCAGAGTTATGCCAGTTAATCCTAGAACTGAAACATGGCTCATTATGGAAATATCATATTATTTATGGTTCATGTTAGAACATGCTAGAAAAGATTGTTACAATCACACTGGTTACCAAAAAAGTTCTTACAAGACGTAGTAAGAAATCTTGTGAGAGTTGGTGAATCAGAATATAATTTTTCTTTTGCTGACTCTACCATGAACAGGAAATACACTGAGAGAAATTGCAGGAGAGAAAGCTGGCATATTTAAGGTATTTAAATTTCTCATTTATTGTGCTTTGAAAATGTATTGTAACATGCCACAAGAAAAAAAATTGTGATTTATTTTTGTTCCATATCTTGCATTTCACTTGTCACAGAAAGGAGTACCTGCATATACTGTGCCCCAGCCTGAAGAAGCAATGCATGCGCTGGAAGACAAGGCTTTTCAATTAGGTGTAAGTGTCATTGTTTTATGCACTTTTGATTGATCAAGATATGGCACACTACAACCTGAATGATAAACTCATATTATTTGCATGACACGTGAGTAAACATTTATTTATTCTATTACAGGTTCCTCTTCAACTAGCTTCACCTTTAGATACTGGACTGCTGAAAAATCAGCATCTTGGGTTAGATGGTGAACATCAATATCTAAATGCTGGGCTCGCTATTGCCTTGTCTAGTGTTTGGCTTAAAACGACTGGAAATTTGAAAAGCATGAATATAGATGAACATGTAAGTGTGCTTTTATATTCTATTTTCTTTTCATCATACCTAGCAAAGGATCGTCAACATGTTCTGTGTGGCAACCAGAGTTTACCTGAGCAATTTGTCAGCGGCCTATCAAGGGCTCGTTTGGAGGGACGAGCACAAATTGTCCCTGATTCACTGGGGCAACAGCAGAACTCCAACCTTGGAGGCTTGACTTTCTACCTGGATGGTGCACATAGCCCAGAAAGCATGGAAATGTGTGCAAAATGGTATTCCCATGCTATAAGAGAAGATCCTTCACGGTTTGGGGAAAGGTCTCATGAGAATCACCATATGAGACAGGTAAATTCTATTTTACTCTTAGCGTGTCCTGACTGGGATATTAAATTATGCCTATTCATATCCTTTTATATGTTCCGTTTGCAGGGAGGTCACCCTAAGTCACTAGGGGGAAAGGATCACCAACAGATACTTTTGTTCAATTGCATGTCAGTGAGAGATCCTCAGCTCCTGCTTCCGCGTCTAATAAATACTTGTGATCAGCATGGTAAGTCAGATGAGGAACATTTCTTATATCGGAAAATTCATTTTCTTTAAAATCTCATATCTGCTCCAATGTAACTCATGTTAATTATTTCTTACAGAATTTCAATTAATCTTGAAGATTTTCACCAATCCTCTACTTTCTAATATAAGTAGTAACTTTGGCTTGTTTTGACTTGTTTGTAGGTTGTTCCTATCTTACGTTGTTATTGACTTCTTCTGCCACCTTGTAAAATTATTTAAAGTTTTAAACAACTTCCAGAATTAATTGTTGTCTTTTGATGCTTGGAGGTGGTGGTGACACATCTTCTTTGTCTTTCCTACTCAAATGTACAGGTCATAATGGGCTTTTCTTAGCTAACTTCAGTAGAAAGGATAGATACAGTTACATCAGATCTGTGAATTAAATGATTTCCCTATAAGAAAGCTACAAGTAGTCTAAAATGCTTAAGTAGAACCATTTGATTTAAGACATAACACGCAAGCATACTATTCATATTAGTACCAAGGAATCACTATGATCTACTTAAGTTTTTTGTGATCCTAGGCTGAAACCCCACAATGGGGACATTTGTCTGACCAGGCAACAGGGCAAATGGTAATGTTACCCATCTAAGAGAGTTCATAGGATACTTGTCAATAAAGTAGCTGTATATTGTTGTTTCATTCATCCAGATATTACTAGTTATTTTCATGATACATTGCTGTGAATTAATGATGGACATTTTTTAACGACTTTCAGGGGTCAAGTTTCATAAGGCCATTTTTGTACCAAACCAATCAGTATATAACAAGGTTACATCTCTTGCATCACCACCAACTGATCCTCAGCAAGTCGATCTTTCTTGGCAGCTGACACTACAGAAAGCATGGGAGAATTTTATGCATAGTGAACAAGGTGCTCAAAAATGTTCTTGCTTTTTTTTTTTCAAGTTCATGAGGAATTTAGGTTATCTAAATGCTTCTTGGAGTTGCGGGTGTTACTTAGATGTTTAAACTTCTGAAAATGCTTTTGGCGATATTCATTTATCATGGATTTTTTAGTTCATTGGCAAATGATGAGTTAACACCATTGATTATTACAGGCTCAAGTTGTGCAAGTGTCTGTGAGGACAGTTTAGTGTTTCCTTCACTCCCATTAGCTATTAAGTGGCTCAGGGAAAGTGTTCAACAAAGCAGATCAGTTCAAGTTCAGGTATCAAGCCTATCCTTGCCACAAATAGAAGACAATATGCCATGATATTTTATCTTTATATTGTTGAAATTCAATAAGAATGACATCTGTCAGACGATTTCTATGCTAAATTATCTGATACCTCATTTAGCTAATTGTTTAGGAATACTGCTTTCTTAAACCATGATATTTTCGATGGGCCACTGTGCTCCTCAGGCCTGTCAAGAAGATGCGTTTCATAACCTTTTCCATTTCAGGTTCTGGTGACCGGTTCCTTGCACCTTGTGGGTGATGTGCTAAGACTAATGAAGAATTGATGCTTCCTCGTCGAGATAAACTTATAAGCTCGGTCATGTTTTGATTCGCTGATTCATCTCTATTAAGTCTAACAATATTCTGAAGACTCTTGGAAAACAAAAACATTATTCTGAATGCTGGTAAGCTATCGCTTCCTCACTTACCTTTTATTGTTGAGAACCTCAAGTTTTCAGGTTGAAGAGGTCACTCGACAAATATTGTTATACCGTCATCATCGTGAGTTGCTTCAAGTAGACCGAGTAAATCTTGTTCCTGGGCTTGAAAAATTTTTATGTAAGAGACGATTGAAAGAAAAATGGAAATTGATGAGTTCACTCTTGCAAATTTATACACTTTCTTTTTAGTACAATCATCTTTTGAGTTTGTTTTTCTAAGATTGACCTGCTGCTGTTTATTTGGTCCACTGTGTCTTGAATGCTGTAAAGATGATTTGCATGTATCCTCTGTTATAATTGAATCTCTACCAATCCTTGGTGGAGACAATTGATACGGAAATTGCTTCTTATGAGTTGGGTAGAAAAAATTAGCTGAGACCTTATAATGCAAGAGATTACATAATTGCATGCTCTCGAACATTATAAGGTATACTGGTTGTAACGTTGCTGTACATAATTAATATCCCTTTAGTGATTTCTATTGCTGCATATAATTTTGAGGGAAATGTGCCTAATCCAAACCCGACCCGATTCGTTAGCGGGTCAAAATGTCACTATCTCAAATCAACCATCTTCCAAAGTGGATCGAGCATAGCTCAAGTCCGGTTGATCTGACGGGTCGGATCAGGGCTAAGGCTTTCTCGACCCGGCTCACGTGGCTGCCTTCCGGCTCAAGGCAACGTCGATACGCCATAACGAATGATAGAATTATTTTTGTCCGCTTGATACGCATCGGACGGCCCGTACAGCAAGCGGATGGGAATCTTGACGTGGATCTTAATTCGAACTCGGTTTTAAGATTATAACGGCGTCGCCGAGGAGATGAGATCGATCGATCATTCCACGGCGAAGGGTTTGAGTCGCGCGGCAGCGAGAGTAAGGAGAGAAAGCAAGGAAGGGAAGAGGAGAAGGGGGAGGATATGCAGGGGATGGAGAGACTGCATCGGATCTTCTCGGGTGCCGGCGGTATGGGCCACCCGCCTCCCGATTCCCCTCAGCTCGACTCCGCCGAGCAGGTCTACATCTCTTCCCTCGCCCTCCTCAAGATGCTCAAGCACGGTAATGTTATGTTTTCCAATTCTTCCTTCTTGCCCTTCTTTGATTATGATGGCGATGGTGATCTAAGATTAGGGTTCCTTTTGATATTGGGCAAACAGGGAGGGCCGGAGTGCCTATGGAGGTGATGGGGCTCATGCTGGGGGAGTTCGTGGACGAGTACACCGTCCGGGTCGTCGACGTCTTCGCGATGCCTCAGAGCGGGACGGGCGTCAGCGTGGAGGCCGTCGATCACGTCTTCCAGACCAACATGCTTGACATGCTCAAGCAGACAGGAAGGTCTCCTCCTCCTACCCTCATCTATTTCTTCCTTTCCTTGTTTCTTGACACTGGATCCTCTCAAGATATGCATGTCTCGGCATCAGATAACATTCTTTACCTGGTTTTCCGTCTCTAAATTTCCGTCATGGCTACTTTTTGGCTGCTGTTTAGCTAATCGAACAATGAATTTAATTTTTTCTTCTAAATGCCTTGAGTCTTCTACTTTGTGGGGTCTCTTCGCATTTCATTCCGCAGGTTGTTCATCCATTTTTTTTTTGTTGGATTTGATACAGTAAAACGAGTTTATTTCTGTGGAGTAACTAGATCTTGCTTCTTTAAGGTCAGAGAAAAAAAATATATTCGTAGATTTTGTAATTGCCATTGTGTCAAGAGGAAGCCAGTACGAGTTTTTTTTAGACTAGATACATCATTACCTTCTAAGTTCTATTTTGTCTAGTTTCATGGCTTTGCCTTGATTTGATACATATACGATGTTGAATGCTAAGGCTAAATCCAATTTTAATTGCCAAAATTGCTTACAAAAGAAGGGAGAGCCTAATGCATAAAGCTCCTGCCAATATGGAGCTTGGAGAGGATCAATTTTTACCCTTATAAGTAGAAGGCTTAGATCACCATGAAATTTATCAAAGTTGTTGGATTTCTAGTTGGATTAATTTATTGGATCAAAATTTGGGTAGATCAAATTGTGACACCCCAGATGTGAAGCCTAAAGTTTTGGAGATTTAACACATCAATTTAGTCTCATGCCAGTTGTGGGAGGAGATTTGAGTTGGTTTATAAAGTCCTATAGTCTAATACTATTTTAGGCTTAAATATTTTGACTTATGGTTTGGGCTAAGTTAGTATATCAGTTCTCTCATTAGGTCATAACAAAGGGTATCTGATTCGGTATTGAGCACGATGATGGACCTGAATAGGAAAGAGACTACATGTAGATAAGAGTAAAGACACATCACGACATGGAGTCATCACTAAGTTAAGCTTCATGTGCATCATGCTAGGACTTGATTTTGGGCTATGTTTTGGTCTTGACAAGGACATCAAACTTAATAAGGGGGGATCATGATGTCCAAGATGTCAAGCATTAAGTGGGGGAGATTGTGATGCTTAAGCTTGATCTCACATTGGATGTGGAAAGAGATTTGAATTGGCTATAAGGTTATACGACTCTTATTTTGGGTCTACGATTTAGACCTATTAAGCTTGTGGATCAGATATCCTATTGGATCAGATCGTGACACTTCCATCTAAATCTTGAAACTGATTCAGGGAAATCTGTGTTGGTTTACCTTGGTTGAGTTAGGCATTCCAATAGGTTGTAAATTAATTAATGCTCTTATTTGTTTTTCGGTCCTAATGCAATCTGTAAGCTGAAGTCAATAGAATTCTTATTATGTCTATGACTGATTGGCTTGGATATAAAAAAGAAAAGAAAAGGAAAGGAGATTTTTGTTAAATTTCAAAGTATTGGTCAAACTAGTGTGTACCCCCTTGTATTTTTACTGATCTGACCATATATAAACAAGTCGATTGGATCTTACCTGACCGTACTAGTCTATCCTTGGTGAATCAGTGGATATTTGCACGATATCAAACTTGTACTGGGTGGTAAATTTATTTCGTGATTTAAAACTTCTCCCACCCACTCTTAACAGGAGTTTGATTCTTTCTATTTAGATATTGTCTTATTGCTCAGTTTAGCATTCTCCCACTCATTTGAAATGGGTGTCTTGTTTCCATTCAGATTATGAGAGGGAATGGGTAAGAGAAGGTAGTTGATGAGGTTGAGATGTGACCTTATCCATGATTGAGGTTGACAGGAGTTTCTCATGGTGATTGCCCTACTACCAGCATGGATTTTGTGGACCAGAACTATAATATCGACAACAGGTCTCTATTTGTTGAATCAGAACTTCCAATTGCGACAAGAGCAGTACAGTGGTAGTAGCACGAATGCTCTATAGCAGACATGTACATTGACTTTATCATCAACCCTCTTCTCCCACCTTTACTAGGTGGAGCATCATATCCAGGCCTCCCAACCCAATCAGTGATCAAGCTGCCATGGATATTGCTTATCTGATCAGCATAGACCACAATGTCTACTAATATCATATACCATGGGAGCAATACCGTTCTTGAGTTTCAGACTTATAATACTAACCTCTAGCCATATTCAACTCTCAAGATACCATGTTTTTTGTTTTAATATCAGGTGAATGATTAGATATGTACTTATGTATGTTCATTGACAGCCTGTGAATACTGAAGAGGTTATTCTCAGTCTCATGTATAATTGAATTAGTACATATATTATATTTAGCCATTTTAAAATTTTCACTCATGCTTTTTTCATGATACGTTTAAAAGTCGGTCATAAAATTATATACAAAACGAAAGGATCATATATGCATTGAAAAAGGAAAGGACCCATCTGGCACTGCAAGGTTGCACTAAGATTTTGATTTCTACATCTAGTATATTCACATTTCTGTCAACTTCTCATTTTAAATAAAGGTACCGGTAACTTTTTCTTTTCCTGAATGTTGGATTTCTTTTTAGTATACATGTCTGACTAATTCTAATATTACAGACCTGAAATGGTTGTCGGATGGTACCATTCTCACCCAGGCTTCGGTTGTTGGCTTTCTGGTGTTGACATAAACACGCAGCAGGTGTCGTCATTTCCTATTCTCCCAAGTATTTGTTGCTTTACTCTCTGTGTGTATTGCCTAATGATGAATGTGGATATAATGGTTTGGCATGTTTATTTTTTGCTGAGTAAGCTATCTAGTTTATTCTTATTGCTATTTCTTATGGTAGTTATTGTTTTTGCTTGTCTGACTAGATCTAGAAAACTGGTAATGCCAATATGCCAGCTCTATTTTTTTGGGTTACTTTTGCCTTCACAAATGTGTTCATAATTTACCGATTCACCCAGTCATAGTGTCAGTGAGTTGCTTTGATATTGATGCCTTTTTGGATGGTCTATATAATTTTGTTGACCTTCTGCAGAGTTTTGAAGCCCTGAATCCAAGGGCAATTGCTGTTGTAGTAGACCCGATCCAGAGCGTAAAGGGTAAGGTGGTCATTGATGCTTTCCGCTTGATTAACCCCCAGACTATGATGCTTGGCCAGGAGCCTCGTCAAACAACATCCAATGTTGGGCATCTCAACAAACCATCCATTCAGGTTGAATGCTGGTTGATTACTATCCTAGATCGTGCTGAGTTGGTTATCATGTTATACTTATATCTAGAAATTGTTTACCAGGCATTGATCCATGGGTTGAACCGGCATTACTATTCTATAGCCATAAATTACCGGAAGAATGAGCTCGAGGAGAAGATGTTGCTGAACCTTCACAAAAAGAAATGGACGGATGGATTGATACTTCGCCCATTTGACACCCATTCGAAAACCAATGAGCAGACAGTCCAGGTATGCAATGCGACCTTCTACCTTTGGAATATCAATTGTTATTGCAAATGATTCTCTTAGTCAAGTAAAAAAGAAAAAAGGTGCATCATTCTTCGTCTTGAAACTGCAAGTAATTACTAATGTTGGATGATCAGGAAATGTTGGATTTGGCTATCAAATATAACAAAGCAGTCCAGGAGGAGGATGAGCTTCCACCTGAAAAGTTGGCTATTGTAAATGTGGGAAGGCAAGATGCGAAAAAGCATCTGGAAGAGCATGTCTCTAACTTGATGTCATCAAACATAATTCAGACTCTGGGTACTATGTTGGACACCGTCGTGTTTTGATAGCGGTTTCGAGGTGAGGACTTGTTTTGCTTTCAACTCAGCAAAATCATTTATCATTCCGGTTCCCTTTTGTTGCCAAGGAAAATGTTTGTTGTCGATG